TTCTGCCCATTTTTTAATTGGATTGTTTGTCTTTTTGTTATTGAGGCGTTGGAGTGTTCTATAAATTCTAGAGATAAGTCCCTTGTCAGATATGTTATTATCATTCATTATATTTTTAAAAACAAAACGCATTCTAGCCCTGCATATTTAAAAATAAAAAATACAGCACCATATGGAAATGTGAAGATTGCTGCTTTAAGGATTACTGTTTTGTCAAACCAGCATCTTATTCAATTTATGGAAGAGACTGAGTCACTTAGTATCATATATCCATGTTTCTTGTACCTAAGTGCAGCTTCTGAATTTTGTATTACTAAAGATTTTCATAAATTTTTTTTTCTCATTAAAAAAAAATTCACCCAAAACACAATAAAAAGTTGAAAAACAATACTAAGCTCATCTCTTTGTTGTTACACATGTGATCACTGCCAGATCAGATTTAGATTGTGATTAACTCTTTGCTGCTATAAATATGGGAACAAACATTGCATTCTTCTGATATGAATGAACCAAAGGAAATTTAGTCTAGATGTTCTTTTCTATGAGGACCTTAATAGATTGAAAGCTTAATATAAATTACAGAAATCCAAAGGAGGTCAGAAAAAAAGACTATTCTGGATTTGAGGGTCAGTTTAGAAAAGGAAAAGTGTCATGTTTGTGGTATCCTGTATTATATTCATTGGAGATGGTGGGATTTTTGAGAAAAGCTCTTTCAGCACAGGATTTTTTTATTACTCTTCCAGTTAGTTGTTAAAACAATTACTTTTTAAAAAAAGTATTTATGTTAGCTACTTTTTAAAAATTGATTTGTTTTAATTACAGAGAACAAATGTACATATCATATTAAAAATGATATATTTTTTTCCCTATTTTAACTTCTTTTTGGAAGAAATTGGTGAGCTCAGGAATATTGTGGTTAAGTTGTAGATTGAAAGGTGAATACAGTTCCTGTTGAGAAGTTTGCAATAATAGTAAATTTATCACCTCTACCTCCATATTTTTCTGATTATGAAAGAAAAAGTGAATTTTTATTTTATTAATCTTTTAAAAGATTAATAATGTTTACTGTTTGCAGACTAAGCCACTCTTATGAGCAGGAATGTAGTATCTTTTTGAGGGTAGTTTATCAATATCTGTATGATGAAAAATGTTCATATCCCTGGCCCTATTTTTACTTTTAGAAATGTATCCTATGTCTAGGACTAATGAGTAAAGATATACAGAGAAGAATGTGCATTGAGCATTATTTATAGTGACATTTTTTCACATCTCAATTATATAAAGGAAGATCATACTTTTAATATAAATATATGCTTAGTATATATGTTACTGTTGTTGCTAGTTGCCATCATGTAGATTCTGTCTCATGATGACTTCATTTGTGTAGAGTAGAACAGCTCTATAGGGTTTTTAAGGTAGTGACCTTTTGAAAGCAGATCTTCAGGTCTGCCTTTGTAGGTGCTTCTGGATGGATGGGTTCCAACTACCAATCTCTCAGCTAATAGTGGAACACCTAATCATTTGTGTGACCTAGGGACTTGCAGTATATATATAGAAAAAAAATAATTAGAAGACTATACCAAAACCAAACTGTTAATAGCATTTGTTTTTGGAATAATGGGATTATAAGAGAAGTTCACATTCTAACTTATGTATTTATATAAAGTTAAATACTATATAATTTTTACATATTACTCATAAAAAATAATGAAGTATAAACTCTGAAGAGTGCAAGTTTTTAAAAGTTTGGAAAATCTAACAAGCAATGTAGAAAAATTGTTTCCCAAAAGTCACCATTGCTAATCTTTATTGGTATGTTTTTTTTTTTGTAATACATAATTTATTTAATAGTGGAGAAAGGAGTCACCTAATTTATGTATTATATATAATTTTGCATCCTAGTTTTTTCAGTTAATATTTTATGATTGAGTAAATCAGGAAAAACGTTAAATGAATGTAACTCTACTGGTCATCTAATAGTTTTTCATAATACTATATCAAAGTTTGCTTAATCATTTCTCTATTTGGAAGCATAAAGCTTATTTTCAGTTTTTGAAGATTCAGTTACCATATCACTATATAAATCTTTGTCATAGTTATGATTCCTTAAAATAAAATCCTGGAAATAACTCGCTCAAAGTGTTAGAACCTTCTTAAAGCACTTGATATGTATTTTCAGTTGTACCAACGCTTTACTAATAATGGATAACTATTATAATTTGCATTGTCATTTTTTAAATGATGAGAGAAAATGGTTTTAAGTTGTTCTTTTACTTTTATATTTATTTGAATACTAATGACATTGAATATTAAAATCTTAATTTATGACTAGAAGAATTTCACAATAAAGTACAAATGTTCAGTAAATACATGAAAAGATACTGAACCTTGCTAGCAATTAATGAAATGCCCATTTAGATAACATGATTGTTGTTGTTATGTGCCCTTGAGTCGGCCCTGACTCATAGCAACCCCTCCTTGGGTTTCTGAGGCAGTATCACTATGGAAGTAGATTGCCCAACTTTCCTTCCGAGGAGTGGCTGGTGGGTGTGAACCGCCAGCCTTCTGGTTAGCAGTCATATGCCTTAGGCACTACGCCACCAGAGCGCCCATAAATAACATGATATTAAATGTCAAAGATTGAAAAGAATGACAATGGCTAGTATTGGCAAAGGAGTGGGAAAATTGGTGCAGGTGGGAGTGAGTAATACATTACTAGAGAGCAGTTTGTCAATGTTTATCTAAAATTTTATGTATTCCCAGAAATTTACTCATAAGAATAAATCTTAAAACATCAAATTAAAATAATGTATATGTACATAGCTCACTAAAACTCACCAGCATCAAGTCGTTTCTGACTCATAGCAATCCCTCTTTGGGTTTCTGAGGCAGTATCACTACAGAAGTAGATTGCCCAGCCTTCCTTTTGAGGAGTGGCTGGGGGATGTGAACTGCCAGCTTTCTGGTTAGTAGTCAAATGCCTTAGGCACTACACCACAAGAGCTCTTATATATGTATGTAAGAGGAGGTTTATCTCAATTATTCCTAATAAGATAAATTAGAAAAAATCTGAAAAACAATGTATGATGGCACATTCTTGCAATGGAATCCTTTATAGTCATTAACAGAAAAATGTAGAATAATCGGTGATTTTTAAAATGCTGGCATGATGCATTAGTGAATACTTAAATCATCTTATTTGCTAGCTCCCATCTTTAAAATGACAAATAGAATAAAATAATACTTCCTAGTAAGTACTGTTTTGAAAGACTTCTTTCAAATGTATTCATGCATATTTTTGTGGGTAGTATCTCAAATATAAAATGTATTTCTCACTATAAAAACATTGCCATCTCATTATGGGTTATAGTTTTAAAAAAAAGACTTAATGTTTCGTATTAAAATACAGGTTTCCCTCACTATCTGAAAGTAGTGTTCCTGTGAAACCTTTGGTAAGCCGAAATGGTATAAAGTGAGAAAACAATAACCATTAATTTAAATGGGAAAAATAACTTGAGCATTCCCAGACCCAAAAGAAAACCTCCAAATCATATCAAATGACACATAAAACCTAAAATAATAATGTTCACAGATAGAGTTGAAAGCTATAATGGCTTGCTGTTGAGATGCTAAGTATAGTTAGTTCCCAGAGAAGGAGCTTTGTAACACCATTCTTAATGCTTGCCGTGCATGCTGCATGTTGAAAATCAAACACTGAATGCCGGTTTTGCTATTTGCTGTTTTGTAAAAATGGACATCCTCTTTAGACTTCTTTTGGTTAGTGAAAACAAGTGGCATAAGAAAATTTTCAAAAAGCAGGGGATACCTGTAGTTCAAACTATGTTGTTATAAATCTTAATGCATATATATGCCAGAAAAGCAGGGTATAAAACAGCACAATTCTATTTTAAATACAAATATAGATACTTTCATTTGTATGCACAAAGAAAAACTTCAGAATTGACATGTACCAAAATTTACTGATTATATGTGGGTAAGAGGATTACTTTAAAATTATTTTTCTTAGAATTTTTGAAAAATTATGAAATAGCTAGTCATGAAATTCATCATTCTATCATCCGAGTTAAAAGACATTATTTTACATAATGTGTAACTAATGGTTAATGTATTACATACATTAATAAGAATGCGAAAACTTCTAATATGAAATCAACATAGGATATAAAGAGATAGCATACAGTTAAGAAATGCAAATGGATGTAATTATAGACAAATTTATAAATATACCTGTAATTTTCTTTTTATCTTATGCAGAGAAGGACAAGCCATTATTTTTGTCATTGATAGTAGTGATAGATTAAGAATGGTTGTGGCCAAAGAAGAACTTGATACTCTTCTGAACCATCCAGGTATGTGTGTGTGTGTGTTTCTGTGTTTAGAGGTGGTGTTTTCTTCTGTGTTGGTAAAATTGGTGCTCACACTATTTATTATTTATTTATTTTCTTTATTATTTTTTTTTTATTATTGTGATTTGGGTGAAGATTTACAGAGCAAATTCACTTTCCATATAGCAGTTTACATATACTTTGTCTCATGACATTGACCACACTTCACCACAATGCAACAGCTCCCCTCCCACTTCCTCCCCATAGTTACCTCTTCCC